TTTTTTTTTCTTTAGTTGGGTGAACTGACAGTCACAGCTATCACAACTGCTGTATTCCAGCAGCTGCTCCATCAGCGGAGCAGAAACCTCGATGCTGCAGGTTCTGCCCCCAGAACAGCCTCAATTATTTCTCAAAGGGGGGAAAAAAACAAAACTCTTTTGGCCAGAAATCAAGTTTTATTATAAACCACATTAGTGTTTCCTCTAACCTCAGAATAAGGCCCCATGGAGCTCTTGTCCAGCCCATGCTCTGGAGCTGGCTGCCCTGGGATGAGTTGAGTGGTTTTGGCGGGGGTGCAGGTCTCACCCTGCTCTTGCCTCCATTTCCCCATCCCGGTGTTGTAAGCTGTGTCTGCATCATGTTCCACAAATCTCTTGGATCATCCCAGGAATAAAGGTGACACACGAGCCGAGCTGGGGCATCCCTGTGACTCAAGACTGGGAAATACTCATGACAGCGTTGCCCGAGATGCAGAGAAGAGGCAGGGGCAAGAGCAGGGCATCATCTGCCTGGGGGTTTGGGCTGCCTGTCCAAAGCTGAGGGAGGCTTGGGGTGCACCCCGTGGATTTTGGCCCTGACCTTCGGGGCCGTGTGTGTTTTGGAAGAGCGACCAAGGCTGCTCGATAGGCCCGAGTCAGCTGGGTTTCTTCCCATCCCTCCTCCTCCGTCCCTTTAAAGCCGCGCGCGGCGCAGCCCTGGCCGCAGACGAAGCGTCGCCGTGCTCCAGGATGATGCTGCAGCTCGTGCTCCTCGCCGCCCTCGCCCTCTGCGGTGCGTCCTCGGTGGGAAGCCATCGGCCTCGCGGGCTGGGGGGACCCCCACCTCCCAGTCACCACCCAAACCCTCTCTCCCGCAGGGCGCTGCTCCGAGCTGGACCTGGATGAGATGCAACGGGTGGTCGGTGGGACCGAGGCGCGTTCGCACGCCTGGCCCTCCCAGGTGGGTCCTTATTGGGGTCAGGTGGTAAATCCCACGGGGGTCTCATCCCTGTGGAACCACGCAGTGAGGCACCCCCATGACTCCCGTGCCCCCTCTCCAGATCTCCCTCCAGTACTCCTCCGGTGGCGGCTGGTATCACACCTGCGGAGGGTCCCTCATCCGGAGAAACTGGGTGATGACAGCAGCCCATTGTGTGGACCAGTGAGTGTGCACTCAGCCCCCACCTGCCTCTCCTGGAAAAGCCATTTGCCACTAAAATCCTTTCCAAGGAGAAACTCTGACTGCCTCAACTTAGAGAGCACTGGTCCTTCATGGCCTTTGCACGTCCTCCTTTATAGAGGCTGCATGGACCATCTCTGGGAGATGCTGCTTCTTGCACAGATTTTTGCCGTACCAGCTCACCAAAAAATTCACGGGATTTTATGGCCTGATCCTGTGTGTTTTCTCCTTCCCTGGCAGCCAAATGACTTTCCGTGTCGTGGCTGGCGAGCACAACCTCAACACCAACGATGGCAGCGAGCAGATCTTCGGCGTGAGCAAGATCATCATCCATCCTTACTGGAACAGCAACAACGCCGCTGGGGGGTAACTCATGCGGGGAGGGGAATTCAGGGGGAGCATCACTGGGAACTGGGAGATCCATGTAACATCCTTTCCCTCCTCTCCCCAGCTACGACATCGCCCTGCTTCGCCTGTCCGGCTCCGCCACCATTAACCAGTACGTGCAGCTGGCGGTGCTGCCCCAGGCAGGAACCATCCTGCCCAACGACTACCCCTGCTACATCACCGGCTGGGGGCTCACCCGCAGTGAGTGTTGACACGTTGTCCCAGCCCCCAAATGCCATGAAAACCTGGCAAACGTGGGGAGCTGAACGACACTTTTAAGGTGTTAGCGGTCCCAGGAGGCATCACGCAGGGCTCTGCCCTGGGCAGGGAGGTGCCCAGCCTGGGGTTGGTCCAGGGGCCCCTCTGCGGCGGCTCTGGGCTCTGTTTTGGGGAGGGGGCCGTTGCCGTGCTTCGGCCGCGGGTCTCGCTGGTCTCTGCTGGCGCGGCGTTAACCGGCGCTCGCTTGCGTGCAGGCAACGGGCAGCTCTCCAACGTCCTGCTGCAGGCCTACCTGCCCGTGGTGGACTACCAGATCTGCTCCAGCCCCTCCTACTGGGGCTCCACCGTCAAGGACACCATGGTCTGTGCCGGCGGTGACGGCGTTCGCTCCGGCTGCCAGGTATGGCCCCGTCACCCTGCTGCCCCCCGCAGCATCCCACCCCCATCCCCGTTC